GCACAGGCTACTGGCTTGAGTTTCTCGACGATGGGAAAATAGCTCTTGATCTTCAGAGCTTCAGAGATGCTTGGGTTCATGGGTCCAGACATTGCGAAGATCTGGTTGGAGTACCCAACCGGGATCATCAAGTGACGCGAGTAAGCATCGCGAACGGAGATGTCAGAAGGTTTAGGGACCCTTCGTTTCCCTGTAGCGTTCACTACCGGAGCAGTAACAAAGACCTTGGGCTTAGCAAGTTGTTCAGTTGGTGCGTTAGTCTTGGTGGCAGTGGAAGCAGAAGCCATTGTTGAGGATGAAGATGAAGTTGGAAAAGGAAGAGTTTTTTTTTCTGCAAAGAGAACAAGTTTGTATGAAAGCAAGGGAGTTTGAGGGCTAGTTTGCGTGAAAAATCTCATAGTGGGATATTCACTACTATTTATAGTAGTGGGAGAAGTTCCCAATAACGAGGACATTAAATGTCATTTAATGCTGCAGGAATTAGTGGGACGCGTGGCAGCATCCTGTTGTTTTGGCCGTTTCTGCAGAAATAGAGAGACGCAGCGTGCGTCCTCGTTTTTTGAATTTGTCATAATGACAAATTATGAAGTGATGTTTGATTCTGCACGCCGTACTGACAGTGACGTCCTAGGATCAAATCAATGATGGTTTCTTGGGATTGCCAATAGTTGGTAAAAAGCAACAAAAGTGCACAAGTTAACTTGTGACTAAGCGTGGAAAAATGGGTGTCGAATGGCGTTTTCAAAGAATGCCTTTTTCTTTCAGAGTCGAAATAAGGCATTCTTGGGGGGCAATTTGTTGGCTCCTAAATTCGACACCTTTGTTTTGATTGATGGCAGCCATTAAAAGCTGAAAGATGCTTTCGACTGGCTAAGCTTGTCGAAGTGCCCGTCGAAAGATGGCAAAATAACTTAGAAGATTTCTTCCAAGGAGGAAGGCTCATTGCCTTCGACGTCGAAGGAGTTTTCGTCGAAGACGTCTCTTGATGAAGGTGTTCGATGATCCAGAGTGGAACAGTTTGAAATTCAAAGCTTTGGAGGGAAAACCGTTTCCAGCAGTTACTACGTGCAAACGTGCAAGGATCTGGAGCGTCGAGCATGGAGAACGTGCCAAGTGGCTTGATCTCGAAGCAGTGTAACTGCCCGACGGTTACTTGGAATGTTTTTGTATAAATAGGAGTAGACGTGTAGTTTCTCGCGTGTGTTCACAATAGATACATAGTCACTCATTTAGATTCAAGTACCCAGTGTGAGCGAACGAATTGTTGAGAAATGTATGTGTGAAACACCAATTTTATCAATTCAAGTCATTTACTTTTCCAGTATTTTACATGCTTTTCCCCTTTAAGATTCCTGTCGAACCTTTACATTCAAGCCTTGTTTATTTTACCAAGCCTTTCCTTTATGCAATTTACTTTAAACAATTTACTTAAAGCCTTATCCACATTAATTAAACTTCAAAATCAACCTATGTCCATAGGATCAATCTGATCGATCCTGCGAGTAACCAAATAAGTAACCATTTGGAGGATCAGCGGTTGTTTACCAAATCCCTAGGTAAACAGAGACATGACGGGAATTTGTCCCTAAAGGTTTCAAACCTCCTTCCTTGGCTAAGTTTGATGGGTGCAACGATCCTTACAAAAATGTCACCTCCATCAATACATAGATGGCCATCATAGGAGTTCTCAACTCTTTGAAGTGCAAGTTTCTATCTGGAACTTTCAATGAGACCGTCCTCAAATGGTATATGGGTTTACCATGTGCCTATATCAATATTTTCCAAGAATTGGTAAAAAAGCTAGTGCATTAATTCGTCACCAGTCGCCACAAAAAGATGTCCACCACCAGTCTGTTTAATATACACCAAGGTCTGTCAATATTGCTGAGGAACTATCTCGCCCACTTCAACAAGGCCACCATCAGGATCATCCCACCTAACCAAGATATTTTTGTGGGGGCATTCCAAAATGTAGTTAAGGTAATACACTTTAATGAATCCCTCACTAATAAGCCAACATTGTCGTTGGTGTAAATGGTTACCAGAGCCGAGTGCTACATAAAGAGAGAGGAAAATAATGCTGGTAGAAGGGACGCGATGTCAAGAAGTATGCTTGACTCGCCTAAAGCTCATACTATCAGAGGAAGAGTAATTATACCTCACCCATAAAGGACTAGTCGGAGTTTAAAGGGGTATGTAAGGAAACTGAGAACTTCACACCTTTGAACACTCGCTGTGAGCAAATATGGTGTGATGTACTCCACTTGCACAACATCCCTACGCCGCCTACTCCTAAGACGGACTTGATGGATTTTGAACTAGTAAGAGGGTGCAAGTTCTACAAGGTAAAAGGACATCACACTAAGGATTGTTACCAGCTCAAGAAGGAAATCGAGAAACTAATACAAGAGTGGCACCTCAAGAAATATGTGAAGGGTGACTCCTTCTATTCGTTAGACAACTCTAGCTCGCATGAGCGAGACTATGTTGGGATCCCTAGACCTAACAAATACAAAAAGTTGCATCAGGGTGAGGACAACAAAGCTACATGACACACGTTCACCAAAAAAAGGTACGCTTACCATATCCTGGGCGTAAAAAACCTTCATGAAATTAAGATTGGAAGCGAGATCCAAGCACCAAAAAGTTGTGATCTCCTCATAACATAAAAAAGAAGCTCACATTCATCCTCATAACGATGATCCCGTGGTTGTTGGTGTCAAATGTGAAGACTAGGAGTTTAAAAGTGTGTTTGTCCGACCAGGGAGCTCTGCACGTATATTATATTAGAATGTGTTTGAAAGACTTTTGCCTCAACTTGAAAGTCTTAAAGCCTTTTAGAGGATCAATGGTATGATTCTCAGGAAAAAAATATACATGTAAAAGGATATATCACCTTGAGGATCACCTTGGAGAAAAAGATCAAGCTAAGGAGATAAATGTTAGGTATCTAGTTATCGATGCCCATTTATTCATATAATATGATTATGGGGCGACCAACCTTTAACCGGATGGGCTCTGTCTTGTATACTATGTATTTGTGCATGAAGTACCCACTCCTTAATGGGAGAGTAGTGTTTATCCAAGGAGATTAGGAGATCTCCAACACATGTTATGCAAAAATCCTTAGGTTGAAGAGAGTTTGCACTCAGGACAGAAAGTCTAGAAAGATAAGCTCATGAATAATGTCGCCAGAGGAATTCCAAGAAGGCAGGGAAACCTCCCCCCTAACCTCTAAAAAGGTTTAAGGCTAAAGATTTAGGAGATGTACCCCCTAAAGACTTCAACATAGCTACCATTTATTTTTATTTAATATTGTTTGATTATTTTAGTGTTATGGACGAGTATTGTATCTCTGCCAATTGTTAAGAACAAGTTACTTTATGAGGCAACACTCATTTGCCTTTTTTGCTCTTACACAGAGCGATGGGTTTTTAATGAGGAATCTCGCTTTCCATTATGTTAAAATACATATGTTTGGCTATCCATTTCCTTATAGGAAACTAGATAATTATTGAGAAAATTGTCTCCCAACAAGGTGATCAGATGTTGGATCCATAAGTGGGATCCCTTGCCGCCCAACAAGGAGATCAATTATTGGATCCTTAAGTAGGATCCTTGTCGCCAACAAGACGATCAATCGTTGGATCCTTAAGTTGGATCCTTGGCGCCCAACGAGGCGAGCAATTGTTGGATCCTTAAGTGTGATCCTTGCCTCCCTATGAGGCAATCAATTGTTAGATCCTCAAGTGGGATCCTTACCCAATAAGGCAATCAATTGTTAGGTCCTTTAGTGCAATCCTTTCTGCTTAATGAGGCATTCAGTTATTGGATCCTTAAGTGGGATCTTTTCCACCCAACGAGGTGATCAATTGTTAGGTCCTAAAGTGGGATCCTTGTTGTCCAATGAGGCGATCAATTGCGGAATTCTTAAGTGAGATTCTTGTCGAACGAGGCGATAAATTATTGAGTCCTTAAGTGGGATCCTTGTTGTACAATAAGGTGATCAATTGTCGGATCCTTAAGTGAGATATTTTATG